ACCGCTTGAGTAAGAATAAAAATAGGCGCGTGGAGGAATTGATAAAAAAAAAGATATATCAGCATTGAAGGGGATTTTTTTATCATTCTCTTCTATGTTGCGGTATTCATATGAAACTCACTGTTAACATTTGCCTCTAAAGTGTAGGATGACAGTTGTCACGCAACGCGCCCCATACATAACACATCAATCTTTGAGGGTTTTTTGCTTTTTTCTAATGTTGTTTAAAACAAATACTTTTTGTTACCTGTGGTTTATACATTATTAGCATATGTACTTTTTACAAAGCGATCATTGGCGGTGATACGTTCGACATTTTTAGGGTAAAATTTGACTTTTCTACTCGGAATTGGAGTTAAATATTAAGGGATTGTGTCTATTTTTATCGAGTGACTGAGGGGTCACGGCTTATAACTTAAAGACGCAAGCTCATTGGCTAGTGTTACCAGTAGATTCAAATAGATGAATAAATTTGGCGCATTTTGGTATAAAATACCGGTATCTTTGTACAGAATAGAGAGGGTATAATGGCGCTCAAAGTTAGGGCATGGATATTCTTTTGCGACATCTTTATCATGGTAACATCAGAAATGAATTCGGGGAAGAATCGAGCGGAATTAAGGCAGTTAATTGCCAAATTGTACATTTGAAATAAACAAGTAAGTGTTATTTAATGGCTGCGCTAACTTCTCTATACAACTGTCCTCTAAAACACAGCATACGCTCATCCAATAGATGTTGTAGAAGACTTTTACTTTGACACAAAACTTATTAAAGGAAATGAATATAAATCATTGTATGGTCTCCACTCGTCATATTTATCAACGTAGCCTTTGAAGTGTATTGTGACTCTTTTCACAGCTTTATCTACCTCTTTAATTTCGACTTTATACAGAGTGATTCGAACTGTTGTTTTAAGTAATACACCAGGAACACGTATAAAAGGTAGTAAAGTTAAAAATTCATTCAGTTCACCGAAAGACAGGACATTTTAAGAACACTAAGATGTAAGTACATATGTATTATACAATTCACAGAGTGTTATCTTTGACTTATACATTTTTAGTTTTTTAGTCTCAAGCTTACTAATTTCGTCTACAAGTAGCGTTGTTTTGACACGCTTACTCTTTTGAGTTTGATCCGCCATTTTATAACACTGCATATCTTCATGTTTCGGTATATCAAATGTCACTACGCATGGCAAGAGAGCGAAACGGAGGTCTGGGACCCATTTTGACAAATGTTCCAAAATTATGCAGTGAGTTTGATATGCCTTTCTCTCCCCTAGAGTCTCTTAGATTTCGCTTTCGATAGTGATCCTTCCACTTCATGTGGAGTTTAGAATGTCCGGTGGGTTGCGAGGTCCTCTCGATCACTGAGGGTTACTTGGGAGGGACGCTTGACACTTCCGGGTTGCTATTCTCTAGTTTGGCTGGGTGGAAAGCCCTAAATCGTGAACGGACACGGAATTTATGGAGAGTGGACACACCGATGTAACCCATTATTACTATTAACAGTGGCTCTTGAATACAGGAAAATTTCTCACTCTCTGATTGGCTTATAAA